CACTGTTCCCCACCACCATCCGTCACCAAGCAGCGTTCCTGTTTTAAAAACAAAAATTAGTTTTGATGTGTGGTTTGTGGGGGGTCATGAAACGTCTGCAAGCAAACAACCAAGCTCAGAGAGCACCAAGGGCTCCACAGTTGTTTTCTGAATTACCAACAAAAAATCAAATCTCTACAGGGTAGGGAAAAATCATTCTGTCATTATATTTTTTTTTGTCTTGCAAGTGTTGCCTCTCTGGGGAGAAATAAGGATACAATCAAATGTTAGAGGAGATACTTGTTTGGGGCAGTAGAATGGGTTATGTGCAGAATCCCTTGCTTAATTTTGATTTGATCGTGCTGCTGAACCTTTATTTTTTTCTTCTTCCTAGGTCCCCCAAGCCAAGCAATGTGGGCACTAGGAGATAAAATTGCCTCTTCTATAGTGGCGCAAACTGCAGGCATTCCTACCCTTCCATGGAGTGGCAGTGGTAAGACGTGTTCAAGGTCATTTGGCTAGGGAGAGACCGCCTCCGTTTGGCAGTGTTGTTTAAAATAAACCCCGAGAAATGGTATGGGATAGTAAGCAGATTTGATCCTGCTTCACTTTTCAAGATCAGCTAACTTTGGCGGGATGAATGGATATCTTCCATTCAAGGCGGTGAGATTGGCCAGCACGGATTTCTGGTTCATTGGAGACCTCTAAGATATGAACATTTTAGCTTGGTTTTTATCTACCTGGAGAGAAAACCCTCTAATTGTAGATGTTAAGACACTTTCTCTGCTCTTTTTTAAAAAAAATCTTCTTCAGTGTGACAACCATTTTTGGCTCACAGCCACACAATGACATGACAAAGTTCAATTGCTGGTGATGAAATTTATATCCAGATATAAACTCATGCCAGGCAATGGCTTTTTGAAATCTGGAAACCCAATTTTGCAACCCATTAGGAAAGAGTTGAAAAGGATGAGGAGGGTATTGCAATGCTTATCCCTTCTTGGTATGCAATGGCATTTCAAAATAATTTGGAGGAGATTGGGGGGAAAAGTTCTCTCTGGGAGACCAACCGTAGGAAACGTTGCCACCACTCCTGGTTCTGTCCATAGGTTAAGTGAATTGGATTGGCTGGTAAGGAGAGGATCTCTGTACAACCTGAAATGGAGCGTTAGCTTAAGGATATCACTCCCTTTTTCAATATTTCCAATTCAGTTAGGAGAAAGAAGTAGTTGAAACAAGTCACTCCTCCCCAAACCAGCCTTTAGCTTTTACAAAGCGAATTTTAGTGTACCCCTGCAAGGGAATATCTTTTTTAAAAGATCATTGCTTCTACTGCAGCTGTTCAGAAAGTAATGAAAATCTTTATTTTCTATGGAGATATCTAATTGTAAGATAAATCAAGTCTCTCTCAAGTCAAGCTTGATTCCTGGTAACTATAGAAACTGAATAAATAAATAAAATAAACTTCTTGGACACATACATACTGTTGCTTGACAACACAAAAGCGGTTTGCCATTCTCTATTTTCTGGGATGTTCTTTTTTTTACTTCTATATACCTGGAATTTCCTAGTGGTCTCCCATCCAAGTGTGAACCAGCCTTTTTCCCCCCAGAATCAACCTAGGCCTGCTAGCTGATGTCTTCTGCTCTGATAGATATCTAATACGTTTAAATATACATTGGGTAACACTTTCGTTTAATAATATCCAGCTTTTAGTTGTTTTGTTTAATTCAGCTGCATTTTGATCAGTATGCTTGTACATTTTATTTGAAACAAGTTTGTGAATTGGAGCACTTTCTCTTTTCCAAAGTACTTAAGGCTTAATTTACTGTCTAGACTTTATGCCGAGTGCTTCTTAGGCATTCTGAGTTTTGCTTTTCAAAAATGCAGTAGATAACTTGAATTAGGTTTAGATGATTCATCAGGGACAGCAAAGAAAGTTTGAAGGAACTGGCTGTGTTTGGCTGAGAAGGATATAATATTCCATTTTGAAAAAATAAAGGGAAAGTTGTTATTTGTACCATTGGAATATTTTAAAAGACTTAATGAAAGAAGATCTAGAATTGATTAATTGCTTGCTTGCTTGTTTGTGTATGTGTTACTAAGACAGCCATTTTTTGAATAATGCGCATGGAATATCAAAATATTCAGGCTAATAGTTATTTTGAAACAATTTGCATAATATCAGTGAACCTAAGAAGTTAATCGTGGACACGTTTCTATATTTCATAATATAGAATTAAACCATGTTTTAGTAATGAGATTAGGAAGTTATGTTTTCTCTTGATTTAGGAACTGAGCTCAGTGGAAAATAAAATAAATTTATAGCGTAGGTGAGTGTGGATCATCGCGAATCTTCTGGTTTTCAGGTCTCCAAGTGGATTGGCAAGAAAATGACTTTCAGAAGCGGATCTTGAATGTTCCCCAGGAGCTGTATGAGAAGGGCTGTGTGACAGACGTGGATCATGGCCTGCGGGTAAGCATGACTACCCAACTATCCTTGTCCACGGAGCTGAACTTTGAGCCATGAATACAGCATCCTGTTGAATTCTTCTTCTGTGTCTCAAGTTACGGAGTTTAGAGCTGAAGACGGTTGCATCATTTATTTATTAGGTTATATGTTGCTTTTATTTTTGTACGAGTCAGAGTAGCTTACATAATGCTCCTTCCTTCTATTTTCCCCACAAAACAACCCTTTGAAGTGGGTTGGGCTGAGAAGGAGGGACTGGCCCAGAGTCACCCAGCTGGCTTCAGTGCCTATGGAAGGACTAGAACTCGCAGTCTCCCAGTTTCTAATCCAGCACTTTTAAGCCCTACACCTAACTGGCTCTTCATAACCATAATGGAGAAGAGCCAGATTTCTTATAATAAGGGTCCCCAATTGTGAGAATACTCCTAAAGTTAAAGAAACAAAAGGTTGGATCAGCTGGACTTTCACTTCTGTGTAAAGAGCTGGGGAGATTATTATCCCGAAGTGTGTCCTGTATCAAAATTTTAAAAATCTAAAAAGCGGTAGACAATTCTTAGCCTGCTTGTGATACTCAGCCTTACTGTTACCCAGTCAGTCAGTCAGTCAGTCAGTCAGTCAGTCAGTCAGTCAGTCAGTCAGTCAG